AAAATTTTATTGATTCACTGAAAAAAAGCAAAATTTCACCAATTCAGTGACAAAAAAGCCTCGGAGAACCCAAAATTTCACTGATTTTACGTGGTTAAACTTCCAATTATTTCACGTAATGACGACCTCACGTTTGCCTAAATTTTACAACGTTTTCACGTGGCGACATCCGTGAACTATTCAAATTTTAATGCTTTTACTCAAGATTTTTGCTAATTGCACGTTACCACATCGGAAAATTTGAATTTTTCGATGTCGCGCCATATAAATTCAATGAAATTTCTTCGAAAATCCATTATTTTGCAGACTTATCTTGCATTTGGTCACTCCTACTGCTTTATCAATTTTTTTCTCACCAATGACGCGAGAAAGGCTTTCTCGTCGACGGTAAGTGTGTGTGCGTATATATATATGTCTGTGTGTGTGCGTTTGTATGTCTGTCTTTGTATGTATCAATACGTGTGTTTGCATGTATGTTGTATGTTTGTTTCTGTCTGTGTGCTATTTATGTATATGTATGTGGGTTTTTTCTATGTATTTCTGTATGTGCTTGTATGTATATGTGTATGTTTGTATGTGTGTGTATGTATGTCTGTATGTGTGTGTATGTCTATCTTTGTATGTGTGTGTGTGTTTGCATGTATGTTGTTGCAGCTTTGTCTATGTGCCATGTATATATATGTATGTGGGTTTCTATGTATTTCTGTATTTGCTCGTGTGTGTGTGTGTGTGTGTGTGTATGTGTACGCGTATATGTCTGTTCTTGTATGTACCTGTATATGTGTGTGTGCGTTTGCGTCTATGTTGCATGTTTGTGTGTTTTGTCTGTGAGTATGTTCATGTAATGGGTTTTTATGTATGTTTATATGTTTGTATGTGTGTGTGTGTAAGTTCGTTTCCTCATATATGCAGCCAACTAAGTTACTTTGGCACCAAGGGATTTTTTCCGTATTATGTGTTTTTCAAAATTCTATAATTTTATTTTTATAATTTCCGTTTTGAAATTTAATTCTTTAATTGTATTTTTTTCAGAGTTTCTCTGACATTCTCAACTGCTGAAGCTGTTTCATCGATCCACGAATCGATTGAACGTTTAAATCAGCTCTGGGATAAAGTGAGCATGGATGAATGCTTGCGCTGCAAGCGTATCGACCAGTTCTATAAGCATATCGGCGACCTCCTTGCGCAAATGGTACCTCAACTTCGTTTTACCTCATTTTGTCACCTCACGTGGAACTGGATACTGTATGAGGGGGAAGGGGAAGTTTTG